CTTGGGATCACTGATCCAGATCACAATCAGTGATCCGAAGTTGGTTGGGGTCCACATCCGTGTGAAACAAACAGCCCCATAGTTTCTCCAGATGAATAAAGACAGAATGTTTCCCCGTTGACCCATTTCAGGATATTTTTCTGTCCTTGTTCTCAACATAGATCTACCGTCAGCCACCAGTACAGCGACAACCACACCCAGCACAACAGGCCTGTCACTCGGTGAGTTTTGGTCACTCAACTCGTAGTCCGTAGAACAAAACAAACTGGCAAATCAGTGCGGCAATAATGTCAAGCACAGTGGGCTCATTCTAGTGCCGAAAGGTCTCTGTGAAATGAAATTTTCATCATTAATCCTTTCCGGCAATGACACCAGGATTCCTTGAAAGCATCCCGGGCGCTGCAGCTTTCTCAAGCCTGAAGAAATCTGTAGAGGGGGGACAGTGACATGCAGCCACAGTTTTAGAGGTGGGAGGAAAACCCCAAAGGAATATTCTGGGTAAAACCCACGCAATCAGGTAGGGACTGAAAAACCCTATCCACATGTGGACCGGGCCGGGATTCGAACCTAGACCGCAGTGGTGGAAGGCGAGGTTAGAACCACTACACCCATCTGACGAATACATTCGCCTCTTTGCAGACAAATGTCACAGTTTGACGACATTTGCTCTAGAGCCAATTTTTTCATGTTCATTTTTTTTATTTTCACTCTCCCACTGTCATTTTGCTGACCCCGTTCTTATTCAAATTTTTTTGTGTTCCTGCAGGGGGATTGGGTGTTGCCACGGCAGCAAAATCACTGTAAGTCATGTGTTTGCTTCATGATTACCCCGAGGCACATCCGTCAGCGTGACGAGCGCATGCGTTTGGCAAATCACGACACCCTATTGGTCAAAGAGGCATGTAACGAGCGCGTACCACCTGTTTACCAGCGTCGCACCACCACAGTAACGGCTTCGTCTTCTTGAGTTACAGTATAAAAAGTTCAGGAAACTCTGGTCTCAGTGATAAGTACTTTTGACCCGAGTACTTTTTGAGTTAGTTGGCCAGTTCTGAATTTTGAATGGCGGAGGTCGTTCAAAGACAAAGCACTCGTGCAAGTCGGCAGATGTCCATGCTGGTCGGACAGCCCTGACATGGGTACACCGCTGTTCCCGTATGACCTTGGACATGATCAGTTGGCATACCGAAGTGGCTTCTTGTTAATACCTGTGGAGTACTACCATGGAGCGTTTTTCTCTCCCGTAGGACCACGGCAACAACCACTACCGTTGCCGCCGCTGCCACCACGGCCCCGTCATCTCAGGGCCCAACCCTGACCTACCACCAGCTGGAGCAGGCCATCAACAAGTGGACAGTGCAGCTGGAGGACCAGGAGAAGGTGTTCCTGACCCAGGCCACCCAGGTCAATGCCTGGGACCGCATCCTGATCCAGAACGGCGAGATGGTGAGTTCCTTCCCCCCCGGTCGTTCATGGCTGGAGGGTCGATGGCTGTGCTCAGCATGGGCACTGTTCATGGCTTCTTGATGAAACCGTGGGG